AATTTTGTTCTAAATGTGTAAAGTGTACATAAGTACACCTTTTGCGACGTAATTGATATGTATGACATGAGGCCAAGGGCCATAAACTTTAAAGTTCAAGTGAAATGCAGTTTTTATCAACCTTGGGGACTTGGCATGTCAAATTTTGTAAATGAGATGTCATGAGGCCGTAGGCCATTGTGGCATGTTTAAAATGGCATATTACACTTGCGTGTATGTTCACATTATCACACATTAGCATATAATGTATTTTGATCATGCCATGGGGGATGCAAATGAAACTTTCGAATTCTTTTCAGCCTTGGTGCATAATAGTCTTGATTTTCACATTTTTGACCTATTTCAGTTGACCGGTGGCTTGTTTCGGTCAACCGATGCCCTTTGAATTTCAATTGAACAGTGAAAACTCAATTCCAGTAGCCATTTTTCATCTCGAGCCATAAACCGGTCGACCGGTTTGTCATTTCGGTCGACCGAAATCAAGGCTCATTCTTCTCCTTTTTCCTGGCTTACTTCGGCCGACCGAAGCTCCATTTCGGTCAACCGAAATGGGACTGCCTTGTGGGTTTTGTTTGGTTTGTTGCCTATACAGGTTTACTTCGTTTGTTTGTTCCCACAAGACTGTTTATCTTGTTTGAGCCATTCTATGGCACACATGGTCTAGTTTGAACTAGATCTTGCTCATTTGGTTGTCATTGGTGCCATAGGATACCAAGTGACCTATTTTCATTCTAGCTTTCGCTTCCGGTTACTCCTTTGGGTTCCGTGACCTCATGGAAGGTCATCTTAGGGTCTTAGAGGTATGTTATGCCTTGAGAGACCATTGTCTTGTTTCTTTTGCTTCCGCATCTGGATCCGTTATCGGGTCAATCTTCTGTTCATCACAGGACACTAGGTTGAAAAATCTAGGGTCACGACAGTAAATCAATTTCCAACTCATTAAAAGTTGTCTCAGGGTGCAATCATTAGAGGAGCCCTTGTGTACGAGCCTAGACTATTGGGTGTGACATTTGAGCTACCTATATAAGGATTATGAGCCACTTTTACAAAGGAGAATAGATACAAAATTTGATATTTCTTAGAGGGGAAAAAAAGAGAAAAGGAGGCTAAAGACGCATTCTTGGGAAGTCTTTCATCTAACTCAAGAAGAAGAGCATTTCTACCATGGAGATAGCCCTTGAGGGTTGGAGGACACCATCTATGAGTGGCTAGACACCTCTTGGGGCTAGAGTTAACCCTAAGCATCATTTTTTTACCTTGATTTATGTATTTTTTAGGGGATTTGTGTTGTAATGCATGTTTTGATATTTTTATATACATAGATCTTGTTTATTCAATGATTTGTGTGGTTTAATTCTTCTAATTGATCATTTCATTATATCCATATGTCTATGTATGCTAGAATAGATGTTCATGTGTTTATCTCTTGCTCTTGTGTTGTTGATGCATGTCTATGTGTATTGATGCTATAGATCTAGAGATTGTCAAGACATAGTACTTAATAGAATGCTCTTGTGGTTTATTTGATGGTTCATACTCATTTCTTGATGAATTGTGCCTCTCCCTTAATTTAATTAGTTTAATTTTCATGTCATTAGCTTAGATGTAGTGTAGTTACCTTAGTTGTTAGATGAGAGGACAATCCATGCTTGTTGTTTGATATTCCATACTTATGAATGCAAGTAATATATTTCTCTAATTATGTGATGTGTTTGGATTGTGAGCTTAAATGAATGATCAATGGCTTAGTTTAATATATTGTGCTATTCATTGTGTTATTTAAACAATAAATACTTAATTGGTCATCCATACTTGTTGAAACAACCACACATACTCACTGTTGTTGCAACATATGTTTTCCCCCTCATTAATTATGAATTAAGTATATAGAAATGTGATACTTAGTAGTGATCTTTAAGTCCCAAGACCTCTCTCTCTTGTTTTCTCTATCCTTTAATTACTTATGTTATATTGAGCTTATTTAGTCTTAATTGTAGTTTAATCAACCAAACAATCTACCTTTGATCACTCGACCTACTAACCCTAAGCATTGTTTCCATTACTAGTGCACATCTAATCCCTTGGGACGATCCCTACTCACTCTTGCTATGTTAGTAGTAGTGTTAGTAGTGGTTTTTATAAATTTAAATTTGACCTAGAAGGCTTTTCTTGAACCGCACATTCACTATATTATTTTGATGTATACAAGCGGCCTTGTCACACTAGATTATGAGTTTAAGGATGATGCAACTGATACTATTGATATCTCTAACAACGAGATGATATATGAACCTAGTGATGAGCTTTGTTGTTTGAACGGGTCATCAAAAGAAGATGAGGTTCGACAACGAATCACCAACCTAGATCTTTTTTTCAGTGGCAAAAATATATGGGGAAGAAGAAAATCAAATTAGGATTGAAATTTTAATCGGCTACATAGTTTATGGATGCTTTGAGGATTGTTGCTGCCAGAAGGAGACTCAATTTATTGGCTAGAAATGAAGTGGGTTTGGTAACCGTAGTAGGCAAGAAGGAATTCCAAAATCATAGTTGGAGGTTTCTAAATCAAAACATTTAGTGGTGTCCACAGGTGCAGTTTAATGATAAGGCATGCTTATCATTCATGGCTAGAATATAGGTCCCTGCGTTGAACGCGACTATGCCTTGACTATGCCTGATTTCAATGTGCTCGAGGGTCAACTGGTTAATCCATAGAGGCATGATGATTTTAGGGATGCTGTTGTTAGAGATATAGGGTTTGATGTATCTCAAAAAGATGGTAAAAAGAGAGGCGTTGGAGCTTATTGAGGGGGGTCGTGGGGGCCAATATTCTCCCCTGGTAGCATTGCAAAAATAGCTACCAATAAACGGGAGGTTGATGAATTACCTTTTTATAATATATAGGTTGTTTAAATTATATGATGCCACCACTATTATTGGATGCAAGAAAGCTTTTTGGACCATTTATTGTTGGCAATGGTTGCATTTTGAAAGGTTTAATGTTTAAACTTTATTCAAAGTTTTATGTAACAAAATTAGTAATGGCATGTATCCTAATTCAATTATCATAAGCCGAGTCGGAGAGCAAATTTCCATGGACTTTGGCCTACGATTGAGTCAATAAAAGCTATTGGGCTACATAATGGTGTTATCTTTTATGTCAAATAGATAGAATCTATTGTTTAGTTCATGGAAATTTAGGTAATTTTTTTCTTAATTCAATAGTATTAAATATATGTCTAATATGTGTCATTTACATGCATCTGTTACATGTGTTCTGCTTTTATTCAGGGATCGGTAGAGACCTTTCATAATGTAATGCATGGTATGGACTAATATTTTGTGTAAAACATTTCTATGACAACTTCCAAGTTGAATTTTAGAGGAGTTAGTTGAAAAACGATCTACAGGCAGCAACCTGTGCATATTCAGTGGCTGAGTTTGATATTCAAGTGTAGGAGGGATACATATGAATAGTCGAGGAGGGATTCTTGAGAGATGGATAGACAAGGTCAAAGTTTATATATAATTTTGATTTGGTGACAAACTTGCTATTCTTTCTATTGATACATCATTTGAGCTTAGGAGAAGCCAGTATTCACACTTTGGTGGATTCGTCACCTTTTGACAAAAGACTTCCAAGAGAGAAGATAATGGATGATGAAACAGGAGGGCTTGTTGTGTCTAAATACTCAAAATGAATTTGAATGTAGCAAGATGTATTTGATTGTTGTGTGGTACAGAAGGAGAGATATAAGGTAGAATACCAGTGTGACTGGTGCAATTGATTCAGTGCAACATACCTGCAATTGTGTATGTAGATCCATTCTTCCACAAATAGACGTATCCCTGCTTGGTGAGTGCTACTGTAAATTTGAATTTTAATTGAGTGGTCAAATTCCCTACAGCTATTCTCTGTTGTTCAGTTGGTAGCTCTTCAAGCTTTTCTAATTGATATGATACTGCCGTTAACTTTATATATATATCCCTCTTTGTTATATTTTAAGGAAACATCTTGCACTTTTGAGAATACAATGCAAGCTAGAAATTGATTGATCATAATAAGGAAAAGAGATACATATAGTCCATATAATTTTGGCTAAAGGCATTGTTGAGTTGATTATATTTTTCACTGGGACCAAAATATGAAGAGAGTCAATAATAGCTTGTTAAATTATTGAGAAAAATATGAATGCTGATTTTCCTTGCTGTTTATTATGGAAACATTTTGAGACCAGAATTAAGTAGGTAGGAGAAAAGCTTATTCTTAATACTTTACTGCTAATTGTTACAGCCTAGTTTATTGATTATTTTGTTAATATTGTTACTTTATCTGTGTTAAAATGTGTACATTTTTATATTATGTAGTATGTACCTATTATGTCCCAGTGTTTGGAATATTTACTCTCCTCTTGCTAGTGAAGCATTGTTTTGACAGTATTTTGATAATTATTCACATTTGCTTTCCTCCCTCAACTCCATTCAATTTTTTTTTTGTATTTGTTGTTTTCCTTGCCTTTCTGAGATATTTCTGTCATCAGTCTGACAAATAAATAATCTGAAATAAAATTTTGATCAATTAAACGTTTAGGCATGGAGAAAAAAAAAAATCCTAATCTAACATTCTTTGGAAACATATTGGGTCGACATGTTTCTTATGTCCCAAATCATTAGGTATAAAAATTTTCATGTCATTGCCAGCATTTCAAGTACTACAGTTGATCCCCATCTCATAGCCAAAGCTATCTTCTTCATTCTTAAAAAAATAATTCAAAAATTGTTCCATTGCTAAATTATCCCAAATCCTAAAAAGAACAAATTTTCAATTAACCTGTATTGTCAAATGCCAAACAATAATAGACTAGAAAAAATAATGATAGAGAATGACAGAGAATAGAGAAATAGATAAAGTGAAGTTTTTCTCTTCAGATTTGAACTAATTGCTCCATTAACCATGAGTATGTATAAAGCTAGTTATTAGCACTACTACACTTGACTGATTTATTTAAGCGAACAATAACTAATTATACTAATGAGCCAATAGCTTGTAGAAAGAATCAGAAACAAAGTAATAGCTAGAATACATATGCTCCTCAATGAAATTGAACCACCTTCTTCGCCAATACGGATTGATAGCCAGAACAGAAGCCATTGCCAATAAGAACATGACGTATGACACATAAAAAGTAACATAAAAAGCCTCTGGATCGATTTCATACCATTTTGCCTCACTTTCTTCTGAAATTGTTGTTGGTGTGTTTGGAGATTGAACAATAGTGGTACAATTTTTCTTTAATTGTGGTCCACAAAGATAAGGATTTCCCTCGTAGCTGCTCCCATCAAATGTCGAAAATTGGAACTTCATGTCAGGAGTTCTACCCGATAAGTTGTTGTGAGCTACAGAAAAGACTTCGAGAAAATTCAGAACAATCAGCTCCGTAGGGATCACTCCACTCAACTTATTGTAAGAAAGGTCCAAGCTCTCTATTTGAGTCAGGCTAGAGAATGTTCTAGGGATGGATCCTTTTAACTGATTGTGAGACAAGTTCAATGCACGAATCTCAACTAGCTCTCCTAGCTCATGAGGGATTTCACCTGTTAGGTTGTTGCATGACAAATCCAATCCTGACATGTAATTCAGGATATCACCCTCGTAAGACCTAGGACTTCTTTTTGTAACAAACTCGGCTTCTGCTAGTACTGGTGTATCAAATACATCATATTCACCCAATGGGAATGTTCTCATTAAGAAACTTCCATATGTTGGCGTATTCAACCTACTCTTCGTACCCGAAATATAATGGCCTAATTGAAAAAACCCGTGGTCATTTGGGCCAAAAGAGAAGTTACTAATGCAACGAGGTATCGACCCAGAAAAATAGTTGTTGGATAGATCCAAAAGGGATATCTTAATCAACTTACACAGTTGATTTGGATTCAAACCACTCAAATGGTTTCCCCTCAACAGAAGTACTCTTAAGTGGAAGAGTGCGCTAATCCCATTGGGAATATTGCCAGATAAGCTGTTATCGCTAATATCCAACGTCCTCATAGATGATGAATTGACAAAAGCATTTGGTATTGGTCCTGTGAATTTATTTGCTTGCAAATAAATATGATGTGTTGGGTATGAGCAAGAAGGTAACGATCCTGAAAGAGAGTTATGAGAGACATCCAAAATCGCATCTACAGCTACTTCACATGGTAACTGGCCTTTGAAAGAATTATTTCGCATGATGACGGCATACAATGTCATATTACTTATCGAGCTAGAAATCATCCCTGAGAAGTAATTGTTGCTAATGTCCAACACAACTAGATGGGGGCTTTTGGAAATTGTGTTGGACAAAATTCCCCAGAACTGGTTGTCATCCAAATGCAGCTCGCTTAAGTGAGTCAAGTTGAAGTTTGTTGAGAGTATTTGACCATGAAATTTATTGCTGGATAGTTTCAAAACACTCAAGTTGATGCAACCTGAAATCAGTTCCTTTGGTACTTCCCCAGAGAACTTGTTATGAGACAAGTCCAATTTCTCTAAGTACCTCATGTTGCAAAGTGATGACGGAAGAATGCCATGGAAAAAATTTGTGGATAAATTTAGATACGAAATGTATGGAAGCCTCCTTGAAATATTTTCTTGAAGTTGCCCCGTAAAGTTATTGTTCGAGATATCCAGCCAACTCACGTTAAGGCGTGGTGGTAGATCAAATTGACCGGTGAGATAGTTATTCCTCATATTCAGAAATTCAAGTCTAGAATTATTATTAAGCAACCAGTAAGGTAACACTCCTTTCAAGTGGTTGTGGGAAAGATCAAGAAATCTTAATTTGTGTTGGTGGAAAAGAAACTTGGGTATTTCACCGGTGAGGCTGCAGTTCGATAACGAAAGGATTTTCAACTGAAATTTGGGAGTCCAGTTTGAGAAATCATCAGTTTCAACCACCAAATTGTTGCTGCTGCTGATTAATTCAAGAATCTCAAGATTGGAATGATTGGCTAAGGAGCTTAATGAGAATAAACCCTCAAAATGGTTGTAATTAAGATTGAAGTATTCTAGAGATGTGAGGGTTGATATTATAAAAGAAATGTTTCCAGTGAATTGATTCCTAGAGAGATCTAACACTCTAAGGGATCTCAAATTGCTCAAACATTGAGGAAGGATTCCTTCGAACGAGTTACGACTAAGATCCAACTCTTGTAAGTTCTTTAATTCACACAAACCTGCAGCAGACAAGACGAATGAGAGAAGTTGGACTATCACTTTGTCTTGCAGCTAGTGATGTGTAAACAGAAGATTTGATGAATAAATAGTGAAGACACCACTCACTTTTGTTTCAGTAGTTTTACCTTGAATGGACAAAGTGTTGTTGAGATCATTCCACGCCAAAGACAGAGCCTTGAGAGAAGTCAAGTCCCCAGTGAAATGATTATTGCTCAGATCTAGAACCTCCAAGTTCTTGAATGAAATCAAATCTACCAAACGAAGAATGTAGATAATTTAGTGATGTTTATGGTAGAATAAGCAAATATAAAAAATTATCCTTACAACTTCTAAGTACGTACTAGAAGGAAGATATTTGGTAGCGTGCCATTCAGTCCGTATAGAATGCATACATAACCCAAAACCTAATAAAAAAATTATCCAACCAATATCAGAAAGAAAATTTCAACTACACATACCATTGTTGGAAAGGGGGCCTTCCATCCAATTGCCCTGCAGTGATAGAAATTTAAGAACTGGGAGATTAGCCAACCACTTTAGAATTTCTTTGTTGAAATTGTTGTAACTTAGATTCAGGTGCTCTAGCTTGCTCAACTTTGACAAAGTCTGGTAATCTGGGTACGAAGAGAAGAGAACATGATTAAAAATGATATTATGATTTAAGCTCATCTACCATCATATATATATATATATATATATATAAAGAAAAGATAAAAGAATAAAAAGAAGAAATCACAAGTATGTGACTTAAATTCTACATCCATTGTTGAAGATGGTCTAGAGATTTAATTATTACCTCTACACTTGCAAACCTCAAGCTATCGTTATTTCTAAAGCTCTTATATACTTCAGTTCAAAATACATGAGAAATAATCATATTAATTACAAACTAAAACAAAATCCAGACGTACAAACGGGTCTTGCAACCAAGAAAACTCAGGTTTTGTATTCCAGAATTACAAACATAGTGATGGTGGTGGTGGTAATAACCGTCACCAGATTTCTACATATTGAATTGCAAAAGAAAATTCTAAATATGTATCTAAGTATCTTTTACCTTGCACTGGAAGGGAGACATTTAAACTGTTCCAGCTTAGATCCAACTTCTCTAATTTCCTTAGAGCTAATAGCTCTGTGCAGTTAAATTAATTGAAATAGAAAGAGTAAAGACAATTGAATAGGAATTATATATATATATAAAAATTACATAAAAAGTGGGTATTGGATGTCAGATGCTCAGTATAAATGATGTGAACAAAACATGCCTTTGACAGGAAGAGATCCTTCCATCCAATTGTTGCTGACATTCAAAGTTTTTAGTGATGTGAGTGAACCCAAAGGTTTTAGGATACCGTTATTGAAGTGATTCCAAGCAACGTTTAAGATCTCCAATTTCAACAACCTTTCAAAACCTGCAAATTAAGAGAGAATAATCAATTCAAAAGAAATAAATTAATAAATAAATCTCCATACTTTTGTATTATACTAGTACTACGTAATCACCTACCGTAGCAGCGATGTTTGGAAGCCTATGTGAAGGAACAAAAAAATTAAAAACCTTATAATAAATTATTGAGAAATGATAGGTGTTCTAATTTCAATTATCGACTCATCTTTCGAATATAATGTGGTTGTATCACATTGGAACTCTTAAAACAAAATCTCGTAAATAATTCTTTCTTTTCGACTCATTTCCAACCACGTTATATTTGGTGAATGAATCGTCAATTGAAGTCGGAAGACCTATCACTTCTCTAAATTATATAAATTATTTGAAATAGTGGAAGGCTTTGATTTATGATTTAGAAAAAAAAAGAGAAAAAATAATTACATAGCAGCAACTCTCTCCCTAATGTAGTGGTATGGCCTTAGATTATTGAGAGTGGGCTCCACCACTCTGCCCGTAGCAAGCAACTCTCTCCCAATCGCAGCATTCACTTTCTCTCTCATCAACCCATGTAGTAGGGAGAACAAATTATATTTGTAATTACATTTTCTAATATAATTAACTTATAATTAAATTTTACAATTTATAATAAATTTTATTATACTTAGTTTAAACTTTTTTTACCATAAAAATTACCTTCTTTTTTATCCAATATTTATGAAATTTTAATAAATTACTTAAATAAAAAATGCCTTTTTGTTTATGCAATATATTCATGAAAATAATAAAAAATTACTTAAATTGTTTTAAATTTTTTTACTTAATATTTTTATTTAAACAATTAATACAAAAAATTAAAAGTAAATTCATGCAAATTTAATAGAGAATGAGTATATGTCATCAATATAGTATGAGTTTTTTTCATATCATAATTTATTTGAAAATAAATGAAGTATAATTAAAAAAGAAATAGCATTATGATTATTCAAAAAAAAAAAAAAAAAATAGTCTAGACTTTAGCCAACGAAATGTTTAGATTACCTTCATTTTCAACGGAGCCATTAAATCCATTCTCAGATAAATCAAGACTCAGCAGCTCTTCAAAAGGTTTAAACAAGGAGACATTTAAAGAAGGCCAGTCATCGTAAGAAACATAGTTGTAGTGTGGCCCTAGCTGCCTTAGATCATGGAGAGTGAGTCCCACCACTCTGCCTGTGGTGTGGTTGCAAGCGACTCTCTCCCAGTCACAGCAATCACTCTCTCTCTCATCAACCCATGAAGGAAGGACCAAATCATGGCTTATCTCATCATTAGTACTGTTCCGAATGAAAGAGGCCTTGAGTTGAAGCAACCCAATCCTCTCCCCTTCAACACAACCTTCCACTCCATGGTTTCTGTTTTCAACCAATAAAACTATGAAAACCCATAATAACAACAACTTCACAACTACTGCCCACCCCATTAATTGAGATATATAGAGTGAATATGAGATCAAATACATCCACATTTATATGCAGTTCTAAGTCGCAATGCATTTATGTGTAGCCCCCACACGGATCATGACAATTGATAATTTGTACATACACGTGTTGGAAAAGTTGCATAATTAATATGGTAGACTTCAGAAAGGAGGGAGATGAAAAAGGAAGCAACGAAAAGTCTTTCCCTTGAAACACTACTTTTTTTAATTTTTATTATTATTATTATTATTGTTATTATTTTGATAAGTGAACTCTTTTATGAGGAAAATTATGAATTCTTCCGATTCAATTATTAAATTAAAAAATATATTAAATATGGAGTAATTAATTCGACGTTTTACAAATCTTAAAAAATTATTACAATTTAGTGATAAAATAGGGAGATTTTTTAAGTTGAGAGCGTCATTTTTATTTAGAGGAGTACTAATGTCTCTTTTCTATTTTTTAGGAATTATAAAATTTCAACTTTGAAACCAAATTACCCTTTTAAATTATTTCTTAATCTTCATTCTTTCCTTTGTTACATACATTTAACTTTATTTATTTTTCTTTATTTTTAACAATTGTCTTTATATATATATATATATATATATATATATATATATATATACAGGAAGCCTCTCATACGGTCCAAAATAATAAATTTTTTAATGGACCAAAAGTCAATTAGAAAAATTACACCTTATTACCTTATCATACCTAACCATAATTAATTTACCTTTATTCAATCTCTCTCTCGTTAATCTCTTCCAACGTCCTTGTAATTTCAATCACTACAGTCATATTCACATCATCACAACCACCATCTTCATCGCTAAGCCACAAAACAACTACCGTATTCATATGATACTATGAAAACCCATAACAACAACTTCTTCACAACTACTGCCCACCCCATTAATTGAGATATATAGAGTGAGTATGAGATCAATATGAATAGTACAATTCAGTGATGACCTTCAAAAAGTATATATGATACTATATATATATACTCTACAATCATCATCCATATTTATAATCAGTTTTTTAGACTTCTGTAGTCATATATGTTCTTAGTCCTTTCGCAATAAATACATTTATGGGTACCCCCCCACACTGAGCATCACAATTGATAATTTGTGCACAAACTGCATAATAAATAGAGTAGACTTCAGAAAGGAGGGAGATGAAAGGAAAGCAACGAAAAGTCTTTCCCTTCCACCAGAAACTAGATTTGGACTCCGTTTCATTACATAGAGTGAGTATGAGATCAATATGAATAGTAAAATTTAATTTTTGAATAAAAGTTTGGAGTACTTCGATTCTACGTTTAGAGTTATATATTTAGTTTATAATGTTGAAGGTAAAGATACATTAAACACATAATAGTGAAAAAGGCCATGAGTTGAAGCAAACCTTCCATTCCATGGATGCTCTGTTTGATTGGATGCAAAATACTTTTCAAAAAATATTTTTTATTTTTTTTGTATTTGGTTGTGGTAAAATATTTATAAATAAAAAATATATTAAAATGTAATAAAAATAACATACTTATTGATTTTCGATAAGTTATTTTATATGAGTTGAAGCAAACCTTCCATTCCATGGATGCTCTGTTTGATTAGATGCAAAATACTTTTCAAAAAATATTTTTTATTTTTTTTGTGTTTGGTTGTGGTAAAATATTTATAAATAAAAAATATATTAAAATGTAATAAAAATAACATACTTATTGATTTTCGATAAGTTATTTTATATACTCTCTCCGATGGACTCAACTTACACATTTGTCAAAAAAAAATATATAAAGAAAATATTTTATTTGAAAAAAAAAAATTAATTTTCAAAGTATAATTAGTTTGTATGCTTTCAGTCATCTGTATATCTACTTAAACTACTTGTTAATTCTTTCGCAATTATAGTAACACAGGACCATGACAATTCATAAATTGGTGATTGGAGATTCACGTATGGAGAATAAAACTAAGAAAACCATAACAACTTCTTCACAACTACTGCCCTCCCCATTAATTGAAATCATTATTATTAATTGATGGTGTTTTTGTGTTCCTGGAGGACATTAAACGGTACTAGTAGCAACCAAGTGCGCAATACAAAAACACCATCATTAGATATAGCAGTATACATACAAGTATTAATTTTTGGTTGGCAATTTAAATATAATATTTTTAGACGGGGAAACCAAATTTTTAATCAACAATTAATTTGTCAAGTCATTATCAACCAGGACTACTTAAAAAAATTCAATGAAAAGGTATTAGGAATGCAGGAAAGATGAAGGTGAAGCTTAAATATTATCAATGGACTTATGTACACAAGTTCTTAATAATTGGAATATAAATAGTACAATTCATCCACATTTATAATCAGTTTTTTAGACTTCTTTAGTCACAGTTCTTAGTCTCAATGCATTTATGGATAGCCCCACACTGATCATGACAATTGATAATTTGTACATAAACGTGTTGGAAAAGATGCATAATAAATAGGGTAGACTTGAGAAAGGACGGAGAGGGGAGATGAAAGGGAAGCGACCAAAAGTCTTTCTCCTGAAACAATACCTTTTTTTTTTTTTTGTCTTTATTATTATTATTATTATTTTCATAAGTGAACTCTTTTATGAGAAAAATTATGAATTCTTCCTATTTAATTATTAAATTAAAAAATATATTAAATATGGAGTAATTAATACAAATCTTAAAAGATTATTACAATTTAATGATAAAATAGGGAGATTTTATAACCCTTCTGATTGAGAGGGTCATTTTTATTAAATAATGTTGTAAAAAATTATATATCACTATATGTTGGACCTTATATATGTATCAGTATATTTATATCATGGTAGTATCATTTGTGATATTGGTCACTGTGTAACGGACTCGACCAAATATCGGTATAGACTAATCAAACCAGCAGATTCATGAAGATTTGTAACAGTATCGGACTCTTGAAAAAGAGTTACGAATCGATCAAGAAGCGACTTACCAATCAATTTTAACAAACCGTGATTTATATAGATTCGGACTAAGTTTCATTACATTATTAATCCATATTTCAACAGTTGAATTGACCTCGAACAATTCATTAACATCCCATTGATATGTAATTAGAGGAAAGTGAGTGGGGAAAGAAAATGAAAACCCCCTCTTTATAAAAATATATATATATATAGGAGGAAAGGAGAAAAAAAATATTTTTATTTTTTTACCGTGAATATGTGCTGAATAAAAATAATACAATTCAGTTAATCTTCAAAAAGTATATATGATTATCCAGATTTATAATTAATTGTTAGATTTTTAGTCTTTTATATATTTTTTGGCCCTTTCGAAATTATAGCCCCCAACGGACCATGACAATTAACAAATTAGTCATAGACGTGTGAAAAATGGTGAATAATAAAGACAAAAGACTAGAGGGAGGGGGAATGAAAGGGAAATAGTGAAAAGTCATTCCTTTCGTGCATAATTGGGTTGGACCGAAATTTATAAATCAATTATAAAATAAATTTGAATAATCATAGACTTCATAGTATATTTACCTTGAGAAAAATTCAAAAATGAAAAAAATAGAACCTAAAAAAAAAAAAAAAAAAAACATTGTTATCAATTTTCCTCTGCACTTGTTTTAATTTTTCAAAAATTTAATTTTTGAATAAACTTTTTGAATACTTTGATTCTACGTTTAGAGTTATTTTGTTTATAATGTTAAAGTAAAGATGCTCTGTTTGATTGGATGCAAAATATTTTTCAAAAAATATTTTTTATTTTTGGTGTTTGATTAAATGCAAAATATTGTTCAAAAAATATTTTTTATTTTTTTGTGTTTGGTTGTGGTAAAATATTTATAAACAAAAAATATATTAAAATGTAACAAAAATAACATACCTATTAATTTTCGATAAGTTATTTTATATACCCTCTTCGATGGACTCAACTTACACATTTGCCAAAAAAATAATAATAATAAAGAAAATATTTTATCTAAAAAATATATATATATATATTTCAAAATAAATATTTTCCGTCCAAATTTGACAAACAAAGTATAATCATTTTGTACACTTTCAGTCATCTATATATCTACTTACGCTACTTGTTAATTCCTTCGCAGTTGTAGTAACACAGGACCATGACAATTCATAAATTAGTGATCGGATATTCACGTATGGAGAATAAAACTAAGAAAACGTACCCACAACAACTACTTCTTCACGACCACTGCCCACCCCATTAATTGAAAACATTATTATTAATTGTGGTTTATACTGATGGTGTTTTTGTGTTCCTGGTGGACATTAAATGGTACTAGTTGCACCCAAGTGCACAATACAAAAACACCATCATTAGATATAACAGTATACATACAAGTATTAAGTTTTGGTTGGCAATTCAAATATAATATTTTTAGAAGGTTAAATATTATCAATGGACTTATGTACACAAGTTCTTAATAATTGGAATATAAATAGTACAATTCATCCACATTTATAATCAGTTTTTTAGACTTCTTTAGTCACAGTTCTTAGTCTCAATGCATTTATGGATAGCCCCACACTTGATCAAGACAATTGATAATTTGTACATAGACGTGTTGGAAAAGATGCATAATAAATAGGGTAGACTTGAGAAAGGAGGGAGAGGGAAGATGAAAGGGAAGCGACGAAAAGTCTTTCTCCTGAAACACTACCAATTTTTTTTTTTTTTTTTTGTTTTCTATTATTATTATTATTATTATTTTCATAAGTGAACTCTTTTATGAATTCTTCTTATTTAGTTATTAAATTAAAAAATATATTAAATATGGAGTAATTAATTCGACATTTTACAAATCTTAAAAAATTATTACAATTTAATGATAAAATAGGGAGATTTTATAACCCTTCTGATTGAGAGGGTCATTTTTATTAAATAATGTTCTAAAAAATTATATATCACTATATTTTGGACCTTATATATGTATCAGTATATTTATATCATGGTAGTATCATTTGTGATATTGGTCA